TGCAGCAGTGAGAGCGGAGAGCCCCCTCTGGGTGGTCTTCCTGAAGCTATGTCTGGGCCTCTAAGCCTGTCATGGCAGCTGTGTGGTCAAGCTGTTTTGCCCCCCGCCCCCACAGATACTCTGGGACCAGGACTGGGGACACAATCTGCATCAAGCACAGGAGCTGAATTTAGCACCTATAGTTCCTGACAGAAAAAATGGAGATGCTACTGGTTTATTGATCTGTGTCCTCGGGTTATGTGAGATTTCTAACAATTAGGAGAAATACTATTATAACCTCATATGACTTCAAACAGAGTGTTTGTCAAATTGACAGACTAAAGAAGGCCTTCTTAACTCTCCTGAAACTGACTGAAATGCAGGTTCCAGGGCTCTGGTCAAGGTATTTCATCAAAATTTCAAGCATGGGCTCAAAGGAACAGGGCTCTGGTGGACAGCAGGAGATCCCCCGCCACTACAACCAAAACCATGCACCAAGGACGGAGGAGTTTGGACTTTCTTGTCCTTACAGAAAGTAAATAAACACCCATTATTTTAAACAAATAAAATCTGAAAACCAGGAAGGAAAAGACTGGCAGTTATGAAGAGTTCTTTAACATCCTCAGGGTACTAGTCAGACCCCAAAGAAGAAAGCCGCGCGGCTGAGGCTTTCCACTTAGCACTTAGGACTAGGTCAAGATCAATAATTATCACCATATAAAATTAGCAGCACTCAGTGTCTCCAGCCATGAAAGGGAGCCTTCTAATGTCCCTGTCACCTGCTCTTAAAGGAACTGACTATCAGGGATCCTTCTAAATGAAAAAAAATTAATACTATTTAAAGAATGCCAAAGAACTGCTAATACCAAAACATGCATTCCTGGTACTTGGTGGTGTAGTTTGGGTAAAACTTCCTACTGAAACCCTCTGCTTCTGATACATTTTTATGATAACATCTATTGAGTCTTAACCAAAAACAATATTTTAAGGCCATTTTCTTATGTGATATTTGGACATGATATATATTCCCTACAAAAAACCAGAAACATAAAAAGGGCAATAATACAGTGATTTTTGGTCAAAGCTCATCTTCAAGGAAAATTAGTTATTTTCTGAGCAGTCATGCTATACTAGGAAACTGGTCCACTGCTCTTCCTGTAACTGTGAGAATGATCACTACATTTACTTCTCAGGAATTCAGACTAATCAGGAATGGGGAGGAATAACTCACACTATCAGCTAGAACTGTTTAATCCCATTTCTATCTGAGTGTAAGGACTTGGTCCTTAATTACGTCATCAGCCTTCGCCGGCTTCCCAGCCTAAAAAGCAGGTGAGCCTTCTGTGGGCTCTCTGTCCCCTTTCCTTTCCGTTCCTCCCCCCCCTTTGGCCCCCCTCTCCCTCCCCTCCCCCCGTCTCTCTCTCTCTCTCTCTCTCTCTCTCTCTCTCTCTCTCTCTCTCTCTCTCTCTCCCTCCCTCCCTCCCAATAAAGCTCTAGAAAGGTAACCATGGCTATGATTCTTTTAATCAGCATGCTCCTCCATCGGTATGGCCGCCACGGGTGGCGACCAGGCATGAGGGGCAACACCGCGGCATAACCAACACTGAGGCCCTTTGTGCTGCTGTAGTAGGAGCAGGTAACTTAAAAGAACAGAACTACTTACTGTCCCAGTTTTCCAGAAGAAGTCCACATTCCAGTATGAGCATCTTGCTAGTGACCCCTCCATGGCACTTCAGAGGAGAGGAAGGCTTGGTTCTCATGTGGTAGAAGGCATGAAGACGTAAGATCTGCGTGTGTGTGTGTGTGTGTGTGTGTGTGTGTGTGTGTGTGTGTGTGTGTGAGAGAGTGAGAGTGAGAGAGAGAGAGAGAGAGAGAGAGAGAGAGAGAGAGAGAGAGAGAGAGAGAGAGAGAGAGATGGCTCTTTCCTAAGGAACCCAATCACAACTCCAAAGCAGGAATCCCTGACCTAGCCCCACGAAACAGCCCACCTGTCAACACTATCTCATTAACTAGCAGGTTTCAGCACTGCTTTAGGTGGGTGTCAATCAAATCCCAGGATGTCCATCAAGCCACTCATTACCCAGTAGAACTGTCTGGAATTTTTCTTCTGCTTGTTGTTGTTTTTATGCATACATATACACAGAGGCCAGAGCACAATCTCAGATGTCATCCTCAGGAATGTTGTCCACCTCCATGGAAGAATTGTCTCTCACTGATCTAGAGGTCACAGATTAGGCTGAACTGACCATTGAGCCTTGGGGTTACCAGCGCTCATTACCACCATGCTGACTTTTTACATAGATTCTGGGGATCTGGGAATCAAGTCTTCATACTTTCCGGGCAAGCACTTAATCAACTGAGACACGCGCACACACACATACACACACACACACACACACACACACACACACACACACACACACACATATGCACATGCACATGCACACGCACACACTGAGAGTTTTATTTGTTCTGTCGAGTCCCACGCCCAGATTCTGATCGAAGAGGTCTGAGGTGAGGGCCAGGTGATTACAATCACAACCTAACACACTTGTTTAATGAAACCAGCTCTCCCTAAGATCTCAGCTGAGAAATTCTCACTAATGTGGGCCTTTTATTCTTTTAGTAATACAAGGGTTTGCAAAGAAAGAACATGCTGACTCTAGTTTGTTATTGAGAAGGCAATAATGTGATTTTTTTTTTTTTTCGAGACAGGGTTTCTTTGTGTAGTTTTGGTGCCTGTCCTGGATCTCACTCTGTAGACCAGGCTGGCCTTGAACTCATAGAAATCCACCTGTCTCTGCCTCTCGAGTTCTGGGATTAAAGGCATGCGCCACCACCGCCAGGCTCCATATGGTGATTTTTTTTTTTTTTTTTTTTTTTTTTTGGTTTTTCAAGACAGGGTTTCTCTGTGTAGCTTTGCGCCTGTCCTGGGACTCACTTGGTAGCCCAGGCTGGCCTCGAACTCACAGAGATCCGCCTGGCTCTGCCTCCCGAGTGCTGGGATTAAAGGCGTGCGCCACCACCGCCCGGTTCATATGGTGATTTTTGATCATTATGTGTTTATGCACATAATAGTTCTGTGACATGAACTGTGGAGGCCTCTGAGCTGAATTCCCTGTGGCTATACTAGATTATGGCCCAGGTTTTAATATGAAGCAAAAGTGGCTCTTAAATTAGGCCAGGTCACGCAGGAAGCTTTCATTATTCGGTCCCTTTGGTAGGTCACATGACCAGAGCCTGAGTCCAAACACATGAGGGTGCTCTGAGAGCAGGTGGAGACGAGAAGGAAGCCCATCAGAATCTACAGAAGAGTCCCAGCCCACCTTGCCCCTCCACATCCCTCTCCCTTTCTGCTCAAGGCCTCTTATCCCAGCAGCTCTCTCAAGCTCCACCTCTGCCATCCCCCTTCCCCTGAGATGCTCCCTGTCGGAGACCCTCTTCAGGGGTATATGCAAATAACTTCTCCCAGACACTGTTCCTGGCATTCAGAAAAAGGCCACTGCCTCTTATACTTTAGACCCACTGGCTTACATGGGTCTCTTCCAAGACCCTAGCAGGGATTGTTGTTGTTGTTGTTCTGGTGGTGGTGGTGGTGGTGACCGTTGTGGTGGGAGGGGGAGTCTTGTTCTACAGCCAAGGCTTGTCTCTCTCAAACTCACAATCTTCCTGCCTCAGCCTGAAGTGAATCACCATGCCTGGTTTCTATGGTTGTGTTTTTAAAATAAAGATTTTTATAAGACATTTTAGCTATAGCAGTTTTAATTTTTATTAAAAAAAATTTTTTGTTTATTTTTTTGAGATAGCCTTTATCTTTGTAGTCTGGTTGTTCTGGTGCTCACTGTGTAGCCCAGATACATTTCAACTTGTGAGAGATTAACCAGTCTTAGCCTCTCAAGCTCTGGGATAACAAGCATGCACTAAGACACCCTGAATTATAATTGCTTTAGAATCTTCATTTCAACTGGCCCCTATCATCTTCTCCTTGTAATGAGTAGTGATGGGATGACCTTGAGCATTTGGGGGAATCAAGGCAAACAGACATTGAGACTGGAATAAATTTATATGGCTGTGAATATAGAAGAGGTAGGTAAGTCAAGATCCAACCATGGATACAAAACCCAGAGGGAGCTGGCAATGGTGGTAAACTCCTGTTATCCTAGCACTTGGGAGATGAAGACATAAATCCATGTCTCAAAAAAAGGATCAGGCCCTCGGAATGGGTGAGACAGTTGATTGGCTTGATCTGTTTGGGAGGCATCCAGGCAGTGGGACCAGATCTTGTGCTCATTGCATGAGTTGGCTGTTTGAAACGTGGGGCCTATGCAGGATTGTTTGGCTCGGCCTGGGAGGAGGGGACTAGACCTACCTGGACTGAGTCTACCAGGTTGACCTCAGTCTGTGGGGAAGGCTTTGCCCTGGAGGAGATGGGAATGGGGGGGGGGGGTTGGGGGGAAGGTGAGGGGGACGGGGGGGGGGGGGGGAGAACAAGGGAATCCGTGGCTGATATGTAGAACTGAATTGTATTGCAAAATAAATTAAAATAAATTAAAAAAAAAGAAAGAAAAAAAAGGAAGTAAAGGAAAAAGAAAAGAAAGACAGGGGGCAGATGACAGGAAATATTAGCAACGAGAACAAGACAGAGACTGTCTTATTCAATCATGCCAGAATGGCTAAGCATGTCTAGGTGCGTAAGTCAGGACATCAGGAAAGGAGGACCAGGGGAGAACTGGGGCTTGCTTGGTCAAAGCTGTGCACCAGGCAGAAATATCTTCCTTCTAGCTTTCACAACTAAGAGAAACTTCATTTCTGCTATCTGGGTGACTGTAGATATTTTCTTACAGCAAACCAGTAAACAGGAAATATATCAGGAGTTAACTTCTAACAGTAATACACAACTGTATGCAACTTGTGGTGTTTGATATGGTTGTCTGCTCTCAAGAATTTGGTAATTTCTTGTGATCTCATTATATTCTATCATTTTCACTTTCATGTCTAATTTTTGTACCCTTTTTTTGAAGACTGCCTCCCCAGGTATAATCTTAAAATTTGGATATGCTCCTGCAGACAGCAGATCTACAGGCTCTCTGCTCAACTAATACTTCTAGAATGACCTACCAACACACCCACCACATTGTCATAAAGTGATGATGGTGGGTCTGCAGCTTCACTTTCTGGGAACAGTCACTGCTTTTTACATATGTGTGAATCTACATAGGATGCAGCATGCCCAGTTCATCTGATATTTGACGACAGAAAGGACCAGTGCGTACTTGGAAGCTTGAGTGAATGCTGAAAGATACAGGAGTGACCCAGACTCTGTCAATCACTTTTGCTTTTAGGGTTCAAATTGCACTCTATACATGATATTTTTTAGTTTGACTGGGGAAAAAGAGTGCTTAAGAATATTCTGGCTACTGGACAATTGTGAAAATCAGAAGCTAGTAAAGGAGATCAAGAGCTTTGAAATAGCTAATCTCAGGGATAAACTTCCAGTTAAAGACAGGTACACACACCAAACTTGTGATAGCAGCCCCAAACATAAGTGAATGAGTAAGAAGATCCACACAGAGATTGCTCTTTTCTGCCCAATACTGCCTCTGGAATGCACCTCTGATAACCTAGTGCAGTCTTGGGCAGGCACCTGCATACACAAGACTTATCTATTTGGTTGTGTGCTCATGGGGAGGATGTGAGAGTGTGAAATACAATATTCAGCACCTCTGTCAAACACAAGTTGTTCCTTGAAATGACAGTTTTTATGGAACTGTGATGAATGCTGTTTGTAGTACAAAGTATTTTCTATGGAAACATAACCCTGAATTACAATGAAATAACTTGCATTAAAAAACTGTAAGCCATGCTCACTTGTGTATTTCCCTGTTTCATACTTACTGTTCTTTTCATGTACCTTATGGAGGATAGTGGGACAGGGACACATACACACAGAGAAAGGAATCTCACATCATTTCCCAACCACTGCTTTGACACTGCGGCCATTATTTCTGTTGGAACATGCTCACTTGGAAAATGTTTCGTTTTTACCAAGAAAATGAAAAGCAGTTTGCTTTCTACTCTTTGACGAGTAGAAGGGAGTTGTTTGTGCCCAACAGCATCTCCCACAATTCCCACATCTCAATTCCTATCTCCTTCTTCCTGTCACATGTGCAAACTCGGGTACTAGCAACTCCAACTCCATCACACCCCTACTCAGTCTCTTGCTTCTTAACCTTTTTAAAATCATGGGCTTTCTTGAAAACATAATTACTCTGTCCTCAAATAAAAACTCATAAGAACACATGCACACAAACCCACAAAATTCTAGTTGGGTGTGGTGGTACATAGCTAAACTTCCAGAACTTGAGAGACGGAAGCTAGAGGACTCCAGCAATCTGAGTCCAGTCTGGGCTACATAGCGAGTTTAAAGCTAGCCCAGACTGCATAGTAAGACTCTACCTCAAAAAAACACAGAAACAAAGAAAGGAAAGAAAAGAATACAGTTTACATTGTCTCCACCTCAGTAATGTAGGACAAAGAGGCAAACCTTGGCTGAAAAACGGTTGTGCATGAATGATCCCTTAGGCAAGTGAAAGTGTAAGGCTGGTTGTGCAAGCACACTACTGTAATCAGCACTGGGGAAGCAATGGCACCAAGAGCAAGAATTCCAGGCCAGGCCAGAAACGTGTCTTTTGCCACCAAGACTGACAGCCTGAGTTTGATCCCTGTAATCCATAAGGTGGAAGGAGAGAACCAACTCCCATAAACGTCCTCTGACTTCCATATATGTGCCTATGGCATATGAGTGAATGGGGGCACATGCACGTGCACGCACACACACACACACACACACACACACACACACACACACAAATACAAAAATGTAAAAAAAAAATTGAGAATTTGGGGCTGGAAAGATGGCTTGGTGGTTAAGAACAAGTAGTGCTCTTCTAGAGGACCAAGTTTGGTTCCCAGAACCCATATCAAGTGGCTAACAACCACCTGTAATTCCAGTTCCAGGAGTGGAGAATCAGACACCCTTTTCTAGACTCCATGGGCACACACACGCACACACACACACACAGAGCCACAAAGTCACACATATATACACATAAGTACAAATAAATCTTAAAAAGTTAAACAAGACTTTGAGGATGCCCCAGACTCCATGGTTAGACTCTGTCTCTAAAAAAATAAGCAAACAAATAAGCAGTGGCTGTGGGGTAACTGTGGGAATTTTGAAAGCTACAAAATATTTTGCAATTAACATAGAACTTTATTTAAGGCAGTATTTTTAAATAAGGAGAAATTACTAAAAGGGAAGAGGGTTATTTGGATTTCTCATTCCCAACAATGGTGCCTTTGATTGCTGGATTCTGAGTTGTATCACTGTTAAAATGGAGGATCTCAGATGATTGTGTAGCTGTTATAAAAAAAAAAATTATCTTCCGCTGGGTGGTGGTGGCGCACGCCTTTAATCTCAGAACTTGGGAGGCAGAACCAGGCAGATCTCTGTGAGTTCGAGGACAGCCTGGTCTACAGAGTGAGATCCAGGACAGGCACCAAAACTACACAGAGAAACCCTGTCTCGAAAAAAACAAAAAACAAACAAACAAAATAATCTTCCACAGTATTCAGCAAGAGATGAGTTTAAGTTGGTATTTCCCTACAAATAGTTCACTTATTTTAATAGTAAAATGTAAAGTAACTAAATTGCATAGCCAAGCAAATTTATACTTAACAAGATCACAGAATTTTATTAAAAATAGATGTCATCTTTAATGTTTATTTCACATTAATTAGATAATAAATAATGTTATTTATTATCTAAGTACATCCAGTTATGCAAATTTACAGGGTTTTTTTTTTCTTCACATAGTCACCTTCCTGATATACATACAACAAGACACAGAATACATTTGCAACATTCAGCCCGTCAGACCTTGCCGGGGACAAACAAGATTCTCAGTAGCTTTGTTATTTGACCAGTGGATAAATACAGTTCTCAATAATTGGCATGAATCAAGCCTGCTGAAAAAAGAAACTGAGTACTCTTATTCCATCCCGGGTTATGTGCACTTGTTTATTTTAACATGGTCTTCAAATTGTTGAATTACAATTCAGTGCATAACTTATACCCCGAGTAGCTTAGTGGCTATTTCTAGAGCTCTTGAAATCTGCAGAGTTGACATGAGAGACCTACCACCAATGTAGCAGTGTTGAGACTGTAGTGCTGTGTGTTCACCTAGGTATTTTCCAAAGTGGTAATCAACATTGTTACCCCTCTCTTAAAAAATAAAAATAAAAATAAACCTTGCCAGACTAGAAAATGAGCAATTGTTGTTTCCATGAGACAAAGAAAGAAGACAGACCAGTGCAACCCAGTACTAATTTTAAAAGAAACAATCACACTGCAGTAACAAACTGAAGACTTTAGTTAAAACTTCATGCAATTAAAATATAAGAGAGGTTCATTACGGTGCTAGATGACCGCATGCTCATTCTGTTCGATGTTGCCCATGAGATCTTTCGTGTCACTTATTCCTGGACTCTGATGACTGTCAAAGTAAAGAGTGTTTTCGAAGGTGACCTCTTGAGGTATGTTCAGTGCATGCCTTTTCTTATAAAGGAAATAAGCAGCAACACCGGCACCCATCAGAATCAGGAGGACCACGATGACCACTCCGGCCGTTCTGGAAGACCCCTTGGGAGACCCCTTGTGTTGAGCATCCATCTTCCTTTGGTCAGCTATAGACAAACCATTAGTGCTGTGGGATGTTCTGTATGGCAAATGTGTTGCTCTGATTGGTTAGTAAATAAGACACTAATTGGCCACTGGCCAGGCAGGAGGAAGTATAGGCGGGACAAGGAGGAGAAGAATTCTGGGAAGTGGAAGGCTGAGTCAGGGAGACACTGCCAGCCGCCACCATGACAAGCAGCATGTGAAGATGCCAGTAAGCCACAAGCCACATGGCAAGGTATAGATTTATAGAAATGGATTAATTTAAGATATAAGAACAGTTAGCAAGAAGCCTGCCATGGCCATACAGTTTGTAACCAATATAAGTCTCTGTGTTTACTTGGTTGGGTCTGAGTGGCTGTGGGACTGACGGGTGAGAGAGATTTGTCCTGACTGTGGGCCAGGCAGGAAAACTCTAGCTACACATTAGCAAACAAGTCAAGGGGGCAAAGGTTTGATGCTAGGAAAAACAGTACAGCAGATCTTGCTGGGAATCTCTGATGCATGAATATTCTTTCAAATGGCATTTGTCACAAGACGTGAAAGCAGAAGTCAATGAGACATAGAGGACACTTTAACATGTTAAGATGGTGATTTAGTTGTTGGAATACTTCATCTTTATTTAGTTATTAGAATAGCTTACCTCTACCTGAAACACTGAAGGAGTTCATCCATTGAAATTCACACATATACCTTGTATCAAAGTAATTGAAGGATGGATGAAGGGGAGGCTCAGGGGCTAGACGCACTTAATGCTCTTCCAGAAAAGCAGAGTTTGGTTCCCAGCACCCACCTCTGACAGCTAACAACTGCCTGTAAATCTGCTCAGGGAGATCTAATGGTTTCTCTGGCTCCTCCAGGTGCCCATATATATGTAGCAGCCTCTTACACAAACACAGACACATACAGACCCATACATACAGACACACATTCAAAAAATAAAAATATTTAAAAAATGAAATAATGATTTAAGAGTGCTTACATGAACATACTTTCAGAAGGTAAGCAAAATGGTGGTGGTGATGATGGTGGTTGTAGCAATTATAAACAAAATTTTAAAAGTAGGGTCAAGCCGGGCGGTGGTGGCGCACGCCTTTAATCCCAGCACTCGGGAGGCAGAGGCAGGTGGATCTTTGTGAGTTCGAGGCCAGCCTGGTCTCCAAAGCGAGTTCCAGGAAAGGCGCAAAGCTACACAGAGAAACCCTGTCTCGAAAAACCAAAAAAAAAAAAAAAAGTAGGGTCAAATAAGAATGGAAATCTGAACTCCTGAATATAATTAATAAACAAATGTCACCAATGAGGTTAATAAGATATTTACAGGCAAGCCATGCCTCTTACTTTGAGTTTCTTTAGCAACCACTAAAATAGGTAAGATAGAATTAGTCACCTAATTCAAGTTTACAAAGACCTAGAAAGACCTTGAAGATAATCCCTTCCATGAGATCTCACAAGGCAACTTTTTGTAATACAGCAACATCTTCAAGGACTTTTTAAGATAAAAATACCAATCTGACTCCAAATCTGCTTTCCTTTTCTTTTCTTTTTTTTTTTTTTTTTGGTTTTTCGAGACAAGGTTTCTCTGTGTAGCTTTGCACCTTTCCTGGATCTCACTCTGTAGACCAGGCTGGCCTCGAACTCACAGAGGTCTGCCTGCCTCTGCCTCCCGAGTGCTGGGATTAAAGGCGTGTGCCACCACCACCCAGCTCTCAAATCTGCTTTTCTTAAACATCCTGAAAGGTGGTTGGTGACCCTAATGACAAAGGTTGGCATAAGCCATTCGACTGAAAGTGAAGGAGGAGAGGGATGGATATTAAGCTGAATCATATGGTGACCTAGAGATTTCATAATAAGCTTACCTTTTGTTGTGATGGATGAATGTGTAGTCATGGGGTCAACAACTGTTTGAAAGAAAGAAAAGAAATAGTTGTAAAAATCCATAATCACTACATGTAGACAAATTGTATTCAGGTCAGCGATGCATGGCATCTTCCATCATTAAGTGTGATGTGATGTGATGTGATGTGATGTGATCTGATCTGATCTGATCTGATCTGATGATGGACCATAACATAGGAGAATTCATGGATGGTATATATCTGTACCTTCAGCTATCTACTACCTATATA